AAAAATTAAATCTGCAAACCCCTTTCCCCTTAGGAAAAGTAATGTTGAGTAATAAATGGACACAGTAGGTGGCAGTATCACTACGACTAGTTCTACTTAGCTTTCCCAGCTTGGGACATGGATTAAATGTATTTAAATTTTAGTAGTTTTACTTAAAAAATATACTATGAATGTATTCAATGATGATATTAAAATACTAGTGTCTACCTTGTCAGTATCCAGCTCCGATTGGTTTTCACTTTGATTTTCAGTCTGCAGCCAGGAGATGGTTTCCTTGAAAAATATTTTGACTTCATGTTTTTTAGCGATCACTCTGTATCTCTCATGCTGTTAATGCTCAAGTGCTTATTATGACAGAACACAGCAGTCACTCAGGGGAAACCAACTGCTGGCCTTAAAACAAAATGTGCCGGAAAACAAAGAGGACACCGTGCATATGGAACCGATGAAGGCAGTATTTAAAAATATATAAATGATTTCTTCTAAATGCTTGGTTTGTTTGTTAGGTTGCAGCTGATTCGCCTGTGGCTCTGCATGTGTCAGGGCTCAGCGGCTCTCTGCTCGCTCCCCTCTGAGTGCCACTCTGGCATTATTGAAAATAATGGAGCGATTATAGCCAAGGTGAATTATTGAAAAGGAGCAGGGAGAGGAGCCAAAGGATCAAGAATGATAAGAGCTTCGTGGAAACACGGTAGAAGTGAGTTTATACTGAAAGGATGAAGGTGAAAATCTATACGTGGAGAAGAGAGAGATGATTTTCAGAGGGAGGATAATCAAAAGCTTTCTGCCAAAAGAGTCAGATTCAGATCCCATGTCTGTTCAAAGAGGTAAATGTAAAAAAGGTAAGAAAGAAAAAAAAAATAGGAAACTGTTAGGAACGGTAGGTTTGGACTTTAAGACTTATGAGTTATTATTGAATTTGCAGAAACAGGCAGTGGATTTATCCTTGTTGCAGTGGCCTTTGGGTTCTGGGCTGTTCTCAGCATGAGAACTTCCAAGCAATATGCCAACCTCTGTGCTGTCAGTGTGGTGCCGCACACACAATACACACTAAGAAGTGTGCACGGAAATCATAACAAATGGAAGGATACAGAGGGAAAGGAAGACAATAATAACAAGGACAAACAAATTGGGTCTTTGGTCACACAAACACAGTATAGTGAGCTACCTACTGGATACAGACCAGGCAAAAGAAGACAGAGGAAGAGGTAGATCATAACATTGTTATGGAAAAAAACAGGAAACAAATAATTAGTTAAACCTGGCTGGAATGTTCTGAGAAACTAAAAGAAAAACCCTGCAAAACTGGAGTGTAGGAAAGCTGAAATATTGTGTTTACTTCTTCTCTCACCTTGTCTTTCTTTCCCCTATAGCAGACTCTGACTTCTGTTTCTCATTGCAATCAATTATTAACAACTTTCTTACTTTGCTTCCAATCCTTAGGATATAATAAGCTATATCCTTTACCTTCTTTATTTACTGTCTCTATTGGCCAATACATATTTCATTTTGATCGACTCTCCACCCTGCCATCCTCAGGCTCACATTGCTGACGGCTACTGTCTTTCTTTCACTCTTTATGTTTGTCCCTCCTGGGTCTTCTTCCACTGACAACCTGGCAGGAGAGAGGTGGAGACACCAGAGTTGACAGGAGCGCAGAGGAGCAGCAGGCAGTGTGGTCAGAGTCTCCATAACAATCTGTGCATGTCTCCAGCAGATCCCTGCTCTGGCATCTTGACCACAGGTAGGACGAGAATCAGGTCCAATACTAACAGCACACATCAATGTGGAGGCCAGTGAAAAAGCTGTCTAGTCACTAGGTCATTGTATAATGTACTGAGATAAACAAAACACATTTTTATTTATAGCTGTCCGATTCTAATATTTATGTTTTCCTTTTATAACCTTCCATCCTCTCTGTGGCACAACAAAAATATTCAAAAACACATTTAAAGTGCTTTGCTGTGAATAAGCGCGATGGAATTCACTGTGATTTCTTTTTTACATTTTTTTTCATTCCAGAGGTGTTTGTTTTGTTTCCTCAGGTGTGGGTACAGAGGATGGAGAGAACTGGTGTTACCAGATCAACAGACTGCAGCAGCTGCTGGATAAACTGGAGTGCCAGGTACACTGTGAAGAGGTTTCCAGTCTATGATGAGCCCACACATAGATAATACAAATAATCATTCACACTAATATTCACACCGATGTCTAAATAAAGAGAGAATAAGTGTTTATGGTTTTGGACTGGGGAAAAAACACCTAAACTCGAGTAAAGCGGTGAATGGCTGAGCTCTTGCTGATAGCAAATGCGCTAACCACTTCTCTCACTGCGTACGACGTATCAAACAAACATAAAAACTTTACTTTAACAAATATATGTCTAAATTGAATCCTAACCTGACGTGACGTGAATACCACCTACCAGCTGAAAAATGTCCCCCAAACCAGAGTGTCCCTACAACGATGGTAGGGTTAAAAAAAATGTCACCACAAATGCAGCTATACCAGAAACGCACAAACACACACAGAGTCAGTTCTTTCAAAATGAGTTTTCTGCCACACAGGTTAGATTCCTAATCTACACACAGACACATTCACAGCCTCTAATGCACACACACACATACAGATAAATAGCTCTGTGTGTGTGATTACATTTTCTACTTTTCACTATTCATGACTTTGTGTCTTTATAGGTCTCTTATTTCCTGAAGATACAGTTTTGTGTTTGTATAATATCCATTTTTCCATTCATAAACAATTACATGTAAATAAATGTAATAAACAATGTACATTATGACCTTTGCCTGGTGCTGAGCCAGACTTCCCATTATCACTCTGTTACACTGCTCTTTGTATATGTACAAACATTGAACTTCAGGCAGCTGTGTGTGTACTTTAACATTTAGTACAATATATATTATGAATACATTAAATCAAACTCACAAAAACACATCCAGTATAGATTTTATTTTTGGTGCAGAAAATTCACCAAAGATTATGCTTAGCAAAATTAATAAGTGAATGTATTAGTTTGTTACATACACGATTAGAAGACTACTATAAATACTTTACTTTGTGTTTGCGAAAAAAAATGTCTAAGTATTATTAAAGTTTAAAGGTCACTGGCATGTTGTCTTCTTTTTGGCTTAGCAGTTAAATTGCCAAAAACATTTCCAGACTTTTGTTTATTCTCTTTTGACAGACTCCCAAATTGGAACCACTGAAGGAGGACACACTGGCCAGCACATATAAATCTGTAAGTCCTGATCATTTATAAGGGGTTGCGCTTTAGGACAGCTGTGATTATATTGGAATTTATTGTTTTGTGATTTTATTAAGTGTTCCCTGCTGTGGTCTGCCTGGTGTTTTTTTTTCACAGAACATTCTGCTCGTACAAAGGCAGGTCTCTGTGACGGATGGAGATCTGGACAAGTTCCACAAAGTTCTGAAATGCTACGTAGACGCCACCTCTGCCCAGTCTGACAATCTGCAGTGAGTGTCTGTTTCATTCCCGACCGAGTTTCCATTAACGCCCGCCTGTCTCTGGTGTTGCTGACGCAGAGACTTTGGTGAAGGCAGTGAATCGAGGGTGTGAAATTTGAAAATTGTCCGTTTTCTCCTTTGGCAGATTTTTGGTACTGTTCAAATGTGATGTGTGGTTTAATTCCATATTTGATGCTCTGTTGGTTTTGTACTGACAAATCTAACCCCATCTCCCTCTGTCATTGCAGTCCAAATATTTAATGTAAATATATCCTTGCTAAGAGCAAACTCTCCCCTTCTCCTTGTATTGTTTTCTTCCCCATCCTGCTGTCAGCGTGTCCGTTCAGAAGCCCCCGGGAAAGTCGTGTTACATAATGTATGAGTTCTGGCAAGACCGCATCTCCTGGATGAGGTCAGTGTGTGTATGTGTGTGTGTGTGAGAGAGAGAGAAAGTGTGTGATGAGCCATCTGCTCATCTTTACTAATGGGAATTATTATATTCTCATGTCATGCCATGCAGATAATAAAAATAACCCACACGTACACATGTGCTGACTAACAGATTACAGTGCATCGTAATGTATAATATTAAGACCTGCGTAACATTCACTCAAATATCTATAGCACAGAATACTATACTACAGAAATAAACATCTCAAATCCAGCTTTAGCTCCAATCCCTGCAGTCATTAAATACTAATGGTTTTGGGATCGTTGCTCTCAGTCCTGAGCTGCTTCCAGTATCATGGACTGATGAGCTAGGTTCATACTCTAACACATTACATCAAACTATTTTCCATCAGTTATCATTCTCACCCATTTACATACATGGAGATGGGGATCAAACCCACAACCTTTTTTAATGATGACACTATTAAATCAAGTTTTTCTTTAAATCTCTTATCATTCTAACCCATTCACATGTTGGGGATTGAACCACCAACCAGCCAGTTTAAAAGAAAGCAGTTAATCTGAGATTCCTTCCACATTACAAATAAACCATCTAGATGTTACATTGAAAATTATATTTTCCCCATCATACTGTATTTACAAACTAATATTTTATAATACTGTGCTCGGTCCATGTGCTATCTGTCTCTGCAGCTACCTGCAGTCCAACAGCAGTAAAGATTTCCAGCGCTGCATCATCGACATGTTAGAAGACGCTGAAGTAGTGTCAACAATGCTGCTACCAGGTTTGTATTTGGCAAATATATATATATATATATATATATATATATATATTTTTGTATATTTTTGTTTTGTTTTGGTTTAGGCTAAAATGTAGCACAGTAATACACTAACGAAGTACACACAACAAACAGGAGAATGTCAACTGACGTACATTTTCTTAGTTTTGTTTTTTTATGCAGGTAAGGAGTGAATTGATGAAAACAATCATGTTTGTATCCAGACCTGTTGATTTTTGTCCCCACAGCTGGGTTTGTTTTCCAATGAATAATACAGTAATTGCATCATAATCAAGTGAGCTGCTGTGAGAGCTTCACTGCCTCGACATCGACTCAGGAAAATGCTTTCAACGAGAACTTTAGAGAATAACATAGCCTATTCCGTTAATAGAAGCCGGTTCTGATAATTACATCATGGCCTTTTGAGTTGTCATTATGGATGATAGTAGTACATGAAAGCAAAACGTATAAAAAGTGGGGAAACGTTTATCACAGAAGGCTAATTCTTCGGTTCAAATTCATTTTAGCTGTTGACCAAAATAAAGAATAAACATAGAGGTGAACTCATGTCATCCATATTAATCTCACAATACACTTACAGCTTTTATATTTGACTTTTGAAAACTACCCATCATCCTCTGTTATTTATTTTCGCTGGCTAAACAATTAGCCTATATCAAGACTGTTGTAGCTAACGTCTATGCTAAGAGCAAAATGTTTTGTTTGGTGATAGCCTAGGCTTGAAGTGCTGCAGTGATAAGAAACTCTTTGTAGCAGAATTTAGCACGGAACTCATGAAACTCGTCTTCAATAACTGTTCATCAAGATTTTTAGTGAGCTAACGCCACACGCAAGGTGCAATACTGCCACCTTCTGTTCTGGAGAAATCAGGAAAGTAAAAAAGAGGCAAATACATTTTTTTAATTGTTGTAACCAAAGAATACAATTGAAACTCCCATTCCTACAAAATATAATTTTGATGAAAAAATTCTACCTGCGTCTCTGTTGTGCAGTCAGTCTCGGGGAGCCGAGCACTCTAACATCTTTACTGCTTCATTATTATCATTGTTATTTTTGTCAGTATGACTTAAATTTGATGCACACAATTTGTACTTGTCATCATCAGGTCACTGACTCCTCAGCTGGAGTGAGTGAATCATTGCCGCTGCTGCAACCGTCTCTCATCTTGACATAAAATGAATTTCCCCCAGCCCTGAAAAAATTTCAATCAGACAGCAGTGGCTTGGCTTAATTATTTCTGCCTCCACCAAGCGTTTTATTTGTTCCTAGGTTACTGTACACGAGCGTTAACCTGAGTGGGTGTGACTCATATCTACGAAACAGTCGCTAACGGTGTAGTGCTTTGATAGCAGAAAAAATGTGCCCAATTCTGAGTCAAGAAACATTTGGAAAAAAAAACACACTGTGGTAAAATAAGAAAAGCTGCTGGGTGAAATAAACTGAAGACGGTTTCCTCAGGTATAATTGTCAGCAGACATGCAGTGATTATAGAAGGAGGTTAAGATCTGCCTGCTGTTTTTTAATGAGTCTGTCTTCTCTTATTTAATTACTATCATTTCATCTATTCATTTATCTTCACCCGTTTAATCCTGTTCAGGGTTGTGGAGAAAATGGGAGGGGAGGGGAGGGGGGCACAATCTTAGTCATCTGGCAAAGGCGGAGGGCGCAATCTTAGTCATCTGGCAAAGGCGGAGTACATCCTGGATAGTTGGCCAGTCCATTGCAGAATAATTATCATTTATTTTATATAATTAGGCCTCTCGTTTGTAACGAGGCTGAGTAGCCTACTTCCCACCGACTCATGCAGAGATTGAAGTGAATCCAGGCTGATTGGAGAGGAGAGGGAAGATGGGTTTTATGGGATGATGTTAAAACCAGGAAGGAGCCAGGACTTTGGCATCCATAATAGATAAATAAACAAATCAGCATTCACTCTACCGCTCCTAGTTATAATATTTTCGTCTCTGCCATGAACTGTCACTTAACGCTGCTTCAATGTTTTCCTCGGGTGGAGCGTTGCACCGTCAGCCATGTGTCTTAGACATCTTTATCCCGTCCAAGTCGAGGTGACTCATCTCGGAAAAAAAGACTTTTCCAAGACTGGGGTCTGGTAAAATGTACATTTATAAGAATCTCAGGCGATGACCTGTGGTCAACATAAATAAAAGGATTTATTTTGGTAGAAGTAAATAGACATTTTTTCATAACAACTCCTCCATATCTGTGTGTTTCCTCAGCTTCTTGGTGGATTATGACTAACAACTAATGACCAGGAAAGTCACATCTCTGCTGCCTACACTGTCACACGGACAGAGACACGCTGCAGAATATCCACCCACCATCACACATTCACACATACACACGGCCGCACACGCACATATATCTTTACACAACACAATCAATGCAGAATTTCAAAAGACGCCCGTTCGTTTGAAAAGTACCAGGAGACAAAGACGTCTGGCGTCACCCAGCTTTCCTCCAGCAGCGTCTTCTCACCGTTTTGTCTCCGCCTTTGATTGCTCATTATTCCACTGCGTATATCAAAAGGAGTAGAGCTCACAGGCAGCCTGGGCACGTTAAAGGGATCGGTGTCCTGCCACGCAAACCTCATTTTTTCTTTTAATCCAAAGTTTTACTCGTCTCTTGTGTATGTTCTCGTCCAACTTTCTCCTCTGTGTTTGACTGACGTGATTCTAATAGAGACCGACCAAAACTCTGCGGCCGTGTCAGCTACTAAATAGTCGAACAGCAGCATGTTGGTCTGTTGATGACTTGTTGGTGGATGAGTACAATTATTTTAGGAGGGGGATTAAAATGCAAAGTCAAAGAGGTGATGAGGGTCAAAATGTAAAGTTTGTTACGGAAGTTTTCAAGAACCTTGAAATGTGTTCTCTCAGGGCTCTGAGAAAAGATGATGTCATTACATTCTCTTGGCTCTAGTTTTAGATGTTTAACCAGCGTGTTCTTGAGACACCTGTTCTGGACCGAACTTTATTCTCGAGTGTGTCAGTGACTGTTGTGGCATTTGTCGGAATTTTGAAGTGTTTTTAATGCAGAAAAGGTGGGGAACTTTCTTGGTTTGCACTAATGAGATTAATTAAATGTACTAATTATAATAAAGTAAATAAATATGTAAAGTGAAATGATATCATTTTGTTCATCTCTGCCATCCTCACAGTGCTGACGTCGTATCGTTGTTCCTCAGATTCGCACAGTGCTTAGCGTGCATGACTTGTGGTGGTAGGGTCCTATACAGACTTCCTAGGAATTCTGCACTTGATTATTCCAGTAGCAAGGAATGTCTTGGCCAGAACCGAATTTGTTCTTGTTCTTGCGATAACAAACACATTTCTGGGTTCTCGTGGGTTTTCTATCAGCCCTAAATATGCATGCTCCCGACTGTGACGCACACACACACTGTACATACTGTATTATAGTGTTTTCTTTCATGCAGCTGCCTAACTGTCATGTTGCAAAACGGCTACAAATGCAACTCTTATCTTCAGTATTTATTGCTTGACACCGTGGTTTGTTTTCTTCGGGTTATTTCTTCCTCTGTGTTGAAATGTGTGTAGGACTCAAGATGTATGATTAAAATGAAGACAAACGTTCATATGTGTTGTGGGTTTTTTCACCGGTGTCTTTGAAATGTATTTTTAAAATACCGGACAAATCTTGTGGAATTTAACATATTTTTATAGTATTTTTTGAGTCAAGTTTCAGTTAGATATAAATATTACGGATGGTTTAATACAATATTCAGGATCAGTACTGGTCTGATATTGGTCAAAATATTAGTATCCAACAGAAAAAAAACAACTATAGCCCCTCTGATCTGATACGTTAACCCAAAAGCTCAACTGAGCTTTGCACGATACGCTGTAAACATGGACACTATCGTCTCAGCAATAGCAGCCTGCAGAGAAAGGAAGTGACACAGCACACCACTGCACACAACCAAATGTGACCTCTGCGTTTAACCTATCACCAAAGTGAACAGGGGGCAGCTTCCTTAACCACTAAGCCACCACCGCCCAGGTATCAGATTAATATAAGTATCAGACATGAAATGGTTGCATATCGATGCATCCCTAATACAACACCATATCTATTTTAAACATTTGTGTCATTTCTCCTTATGCTTCCTCACAGTCAGTCTCTTCATCAGACACAGAAACACTCCTGCCACCATCACCTCCACACCTACCCCAGAAGCTGCACCAACTTCACACTAATTGCTGTGTTTGTTCTGCTTGATTGCTCCATTGACGACACCTTTGTTCTCCAGACTCCAGACCAGCTGCCTGTCACCGTGACTCAGAAACAGTCAGTGACCAGTTAAAGACTCTCCTCTCTCCAAGGTACAGTTTAATGAAGCCCTTTTGTTGGAGACTTGTATTTTTTAGCATAGCATTTTCAGCACACATATTAGTTCAGTTAATTTAAAAACTTTGGTGAAGAATTAGCTGATGTTTATGACATGAGTTCAGCATAGAATGGAAACTTAAATTGTTTATGTTATGTTGTGTTATGTTATGTTATGTTGTGTTGTGTTATGTTATGTTATGTTATGTTATGTTATGTTATGTTATGTTATGTTATGTCCTAACAGAAAAAAAAACAGACAGAGAATGCATCAACTCTTTAGCTGACTAGATTAGCTAATCCCTCAGAGCTATTTTGCTGTTGCTAGCACATTGCTACACTCATCTCTAGCAAAACGCCAGGTCATCAGCTTGGACATTTGTTGTTTTTAATTTATTAAATTAAAAAAAAATCTTCTAATTTACTTTTTTAACATATAATATTGTTGTTATGGTATCAATTATAAGTTTCTTGAGCACAACATGATATTCTGAAAAGTAAACTAAAATGACATCTGAACTCTGAGCATCTGAGCATTGCCCACTAGTGGATGTATTGCTATATACAAGCCATCGGTGGTTTTTCCATTACAAAATTCAAGGTTTTAAAACCAAAGTTCAACATAACTTTGTGATCTACTTGGTGAAAAAGACACACTTAGAAAAGTTCCAGCAGACCAGTGGTATAATGTTGTTATACAGTGCATTGGTTCGGTCACGGATGGTTGCGTTTTCACAGTGTTCCCTTCTGTAACTTTCCGAGTGTAATACCAATTAGTTTAGTTATATAAGACATAAATCTGGATATAACTGACTTTTCTCAGTATGGCTATTCTTTAAACTTCTGCTCCTCTGCAGCATTCGAGGCATTTCCATGATGTAGTTCTATCAGGGTCATCTTGACATTTACAAGACTGTTATTTTTAAAAAAAAGATTTTATTGTGCAGTCTGTCCCTCTGTCCTGTGTTGCTGCAACACAACACAATTCCCCCAGTGTGAGATCCAATCTTATCTAATTTATGCAGTAATCTCTCCAAATGTTACCCTGAAACCATTACATTTGTTATGGTAGTTGCAGTGACATCACCACCATGAAAACTCTCAGCTATGAGAAGCCCTACTTGGTATAAATGAGACTGTTTTATTCACTCATTAGCTCAATTCAGAAGGCTATTCATTAATCTGCACAACATTTCATCTCATTCTTATTCAGCAGCATGTTTCTCTGAATGACACTGTGAACCACTGCTGCAGCAGGAGGTGAGGTTTGGGGGGGACAGAGGGGGTTCGAGTCCTTGTTTTGTCTCTCGCAGGCAGGTGCCCTTGGCTCTGACATGTACAAACTCCAACCACTTGTTGGGGTTTGAAGGGCTGAGGTGACCCAGCAGCATCTGTTGTCCCGTTCCTCCTGGTTGTCATTCCTCGTGCCTCTGTAACTAACATGCTGGAGGAAACAGTGGAAGGAAGGCATTTGAAGTCAAAGCTGCACTGTGGACTCCACAGGAGGTGAAGAAAGTAAACCTTGGGTATCGCCAAGGACAACAAACACGTCGGGCAAACATGATTTAGGTTGGAGGCGTTTTTTTTATTTTTTTATTCTGCATTAATGCAGGGAGAGAAACGCTGGGAGAGAGAGAGAGAGAGAGAGAAGCATTTGTAATAGAAATGTGAAAAGGCGAGATGAGTGATGGGAATGGGGGTTTGGTGGTGTGTAATGTGTGCGGTGGGATGCCCAGATGTCCTACTTACCGGCCTATGATGACAAACTGTGTCATACTCTCAAAATAATCGCATCATTCAGGCATCCCATCAAGTCGAGGTAAAAGACAGTGATTGGTCACGATGCACGGCTTCATCCTGCAGCTTGTTTTTCTTCACAGTCCACTCAGTTTGAGCTTGAGAGTCTTTGAAATTCAGACTGCGATGCTGCGATGTTTCGTGAAAAGTGTTGTGAGAGTCCAGTATTTCATTTTCAAAGCCCCGGTATGTCTGAGAATGTTCTAAAAGAAAGGATGAAGATGTGGTTTCTCAAGTTTTCTCAGCGGGTTTCTTGACAGGAAAAGACAACGCCAAAACAATTAGCCATTAGCAACACACACGGACAAAGGAGGGAAAATCAATACAGCTTCTTCCACATGTCCATCATGATTCTCTAACAATGTTTTGGTTCAGTCAAGTGGGCTGGACCAGTACGATCAAAACATAATTACCTATTAATAACGAGTCCATGTTGTCACCCTTTGTTTTCTTGCAAATAAGTTCAAGAACATTAGAACATATTTATATTTAATGAAATGGTATTTAAAATAATTTGACAAAACATCACCAACAAAATGAAATGGTATTTGAAATAATTTGACAAAACATCACCAACATGAGGTGTTTGTGACTTTTGTCACTTAATTGTTCATCAAATGGACCAGATTGAATCCTCTAGCGGTCCTGTTATGGATCGCGGGCCATATGTTTGACACCCTTGACTTATATTATGAAACAAAACCACATTGGAATAAGGCCGCAAATCAGTTAGTATTATATAGTATTATATAGTATTATATAGAGTAATCAGTTAATACAGTATGTGAGAATGTACAATGCTAACCTTTGTTCAGAACATCAACAGCCGATGTGTAGGTTAAGATGAGTCTGTCAGACACAGAAGGATTCGTGAAAACACTTTGTACCGACAACAACAGTAATTAATGTAATGACGTCGTTTACATATCGACAAACGCTTGTGATGTGGAGCCAGAAACCGTGCGTCAGTGTTTGTTATGGCAATGATGCAGTGAGTGAGGAGAGAAAAACCAACGACACGCTGCTCAAAATAAACCCACGAGAGAGAGAGAGAGAGAGAATGTAAAGAGAGAAGAGGTAAAGCGAGCGGGTCAGCTGCTATGGCTTTTTTAACTAAGCTTGCATCAGAACTTAGAAGGTAGAAAAAAAATCACTTTTGGGTTTCGTGGCTTCCACTTTAGTTTTAAATCAGGGTGGAAGCGTGCACGTTTCTTCTGTATTTAAACCTGTGTCTCCATGCAATGATCAAAAAGTTGTGTAGTTGCCAAGAGACTAGAAGAAGCATCAGCACATGCTAAATATATTTAACAAATCTTATTTTGTTACCGGCTACAGTAAATTCAATATGTATTGATACAAATAAATATTAACAATCCCGCGAGTCCTTTTTAAACAAAAGGGGGAAAACGTTCATTAAATTTGCACACTTGGCTAATGTGTGAAGTACAGATAGATAATAAACGACCAGGAAATCAGGCCGCTGTCTGACAGTTTGATGTGTAAATTTCTCCATCTTTTCTGTGTCCTACAATAACCTGAGTGCTCTGTGTTTGCTCACACAAACGCACAGACACATTATGTTCCTCAGAATACTCTGTCACTTGTGGGGACCTGCGAAATGTCCCCAGAAATGTGGTAAAATAAATAGGTCCCCACAAGTAGGCTATACCAGCAACACACACACATCCAACGTCACACAATTACACCGAGGCAGCATAAGAGACGTTTTATTTTTAGATGAACTGCCGGTGCCTACAGGCTGAATAGTCCAGTAACTGAAGGCACAGAACAGAATTGTTACTACAAACAGTAGTTTTATTTACATACATATGAGCTTATAATTTAACATAAAACCTGGAGGAGTTTTTATTTAAATACTTTTCTATAATATGTTTTATTTATTTTAGTACAGTATGTGATTTTTATTTGAATATTTTTTCTGCTGGATGAAAGGTTTTAATATTTAGTATTTTTTGCTGCATTTTTGGAGCTTCAGTGTTGTTTTTCTTTTATTTATTTTAATTATTATTATTAATATCAGATATAGTATTACAATTTCCATTTTAATCACAGTATGTTGTGTACGTTATAATTGCACGCATGTTTCATTGTACAACAGAGTTATAAGGCTGCATCCATATATTAAAATATCTTATACTGCCATCTAGTGGTCATGCGGTGTGCTATCACGGAGTCCTTGTGTGTTTACTGATACATACAGAAGAGAAGAGCACACAGCAGATTCATTCTATTTAGTTTATTTCTTACTTCATGTAATAACTTTTTTATTTCAAATGAAGATGTTTAGCCTCATAATCAAAGAACATGTTCAGAGAACGACAGAGGAACAATGTGGCTCGCAAAAAAAATAATAATAAAAGCGTTCTTTCATATCAGTCTTTACAAAGTCTTACAACGGAGGAGAAAATCGGTGAGCGATAAACAAGGTGTATGATACAAAGTCCTGCGCTAAACCACAGACTGGAGTCTGAGTGGATGGAACCGTGAGCCGGGGTTCAGAACGGTCTGTACGGACAAATAAACGTCTAGCTCCTGAGATCGTGGGGCGGGGAAAGAAAGACGTGCTCCAAACAGAAACCACAGTAATGTGACATCAGGTTATTTATTAAATTACTAATCGAGTCTCTTCTGATGAAAACACTGCAGCGGTGCTGGTGTCAGAGAAGAACCCCTTTGACCTTGTCTTCCACCACAGATGACGTGGACGTGTGGCGGAAAAGGAACCACAACCCAAATATTCCCATTACATCCTGTTCTCTTTAGGAAAAACAAAAACATGACCATAAGGAGAAAGAACGTGCGGTTAATCATCTCCTCTTCAGACGAGCGCTTACAGGCGGGACGACGGGAGCAACGGTGGGGTTCTTCAGTGACTGGAAACTTTGGTAGAAGTTGTCAGTTGGTCGAAGTTTGATACCTGAATTATTCATTTAAATATTGCTATGAGAAGGAGTAACACAGTACATTTTATCAGCGACAACACGACCGTATCACACACACGTGATCATGTATACAGGAATTAGAGTCTTATGTGGTCTACTGTGATGTCCCCCACAGGATCAGGACCTTTTTTTTTCTTTTTTTTTTTTAATTTTACAACATCACGTCTTTATACTCAAGTTCCACACGATGAAGAAAAATCATTTTTATAACCTCGCTGTTTCCTTATCTCCTCCATCATTTTTCTCCCACAACTTCCTCTCTGCAGGGATGTCAGAGACCAAGTTGACTGTTTTTATTTGCTCCCCCTCCTGGATCCCACATTTTGTTGGTTTTGACCAAAGGCGGTCGATGTTTCCGTCTGTTCGGAAGATCTGTTCTCCAGTGGATCCATTTCAGACAAGACCTTTCCTTTCTCGGTGCCAAAGCCGACGTCCCTGTTGACGTACCGCTCAAACCGTCAGCCACTAATCTGTTCCTTTATCAACTGCCAAAAGATTATGAGGAGGAATGGGTTTCAACTCCGCAAATAGGGTTTGCTGGTTGTGCTGATTCAGTTCTTTTTCCGACACTTTCATCGCTAACGTCTTTCACCGACTTAGTGTCCGTTAGCCTCAGAGGCAGAAGCTGGGGTAGACGGGGTGGTGGAGCGAGAAGCAACTGAAGCCTTTTCTCCACCGGGGCTGGAGACCGAAGGTACGCTGTCAGGGGCTTTGACTCCAGCCAGGCCCAGCGGGGAGATGCCAGCTGAGGCCGCGGCGTTGGCCGCAGCAGCTGCCCGGCCTGCAGTGATGGTGGAAATAGGTTTTGGTTGGGCTTGAAGTCCGGGGCTGCAGATGAGGTGGTGTCTCTCCCAGTCTTTGTGCTGACAGAAGGAGCCGCAGTAGCGAGCTGCGTTACAACCGCTACACGTCTCGCTCGCCTTTCGCCCGCAGTTCCAGCAACACTGGGGAAAAAAAGAGAGGAGTGTTGGTGAGTTGAAGATGACAGTGGCCTCTAAACTAACACAGACACTTGTTGACCTTTAAAGATGATTTTTCACACAGTTCCCGATCAATCCGTCAGACCGTTTACTAACGTTAGCGTTTGGTTCAAGTCAAGTCTTCTCTGGATGTTTTTTTGGGGGAAAAAAATTCACTGTTCACGCCTGCTGATACTCATTCATCCAAGTCGTACGTCTCAAAATATTGACTTGAGTGATTTGCAACACGACCTCAAAGTTAAATTGAAGACATTTCTCCTCTAATGCCTGCAGCTGTGTCGTTTTCTTTTTTTTTTTTTGTCCCTCATCAGTTCGGATTTAATGTGACGTGTAACCAAAGCAACAACTCAAATTCTCTAGGCTTGTTCTTCACAGCAGTTTAGCCTAAAGTCAACCAACTGCTCAGCAGACCAGTGGGACACAAACAACCTCCCACTGACATTCACACCTGTGGCTCATTCAGACTGAACCATGAACCAAACCCTGCAGATTTTAGACTCTTGGAAAAGCCAGGAAAACATGGGAAAAACAGGGAAAGCTCTATACAACAAGACTATCGACAAGATCGGGGGCTTGAACCTGCGATCTTTCGGCTGTTTGACATGGACACTGACTACCCCTCCTTAACGAACCTCCACAGTTTTTTTGATCATTTCGTCAAACCCTACAAAGCCTCGGTATAAGACCTCCGCCTGAACCCACCTCACTGGAATCCTCCTGTTCGTTGATGACCATGATGGCGTCTTCCTTAGCTTTCCTCTTCGCCTCAGCCAGAGTCTTTTCCATTTTAGCTCTTTCGGCGGCGATCATCTCGAAAGCCTTCTGCTCGGCCTCGGCTACGGCCTTCTGTACCTCGTCCATGGCCTGGCGCTTCACCTCGTTTACCGCTTCTTCTGTTAAAACGTGCAATGGTGTCGAGGTTAATGTAAAGGAAATGTTTCATTAGCCAGATTATAGTTCAACTGCAGTGACCCCGTGACCTTGTGAGTCCTTCTACAATTTCTGTGAAGGTTTGTGACCCCGTGACCCGAGTCCTTCTACAATTTCTGTGAAGGTTCATGACATTCTTAAGTTACCATGAGTTTGGCAGTAGTACTACTAAAAGTATGTGATTGTTATAGTGACAAAAAAGGGGCTGAGGTGTGGGGGGAGGGTCGGGACCAGCTCATTAACATAACCACAGACTTCTGGGTACTTGTTGTTCAAACCAGTGTGTCCTTGGCATTTCCTGCTGTGATAAACTTTTGAGGAGTTCTTACTCAGTCACAGAGTAGGTTTTGAACGAATAAAAAAAAAGCAACAAAACTGAAACCAAGACAGAGTGTATGTGTAATGTAATATATGTGTAGCCGTGTTTTTGTGGAGTTATTCTCACCAGCTTTTCTCCAGATCTCATCTGTAACGTATGCTGAGCTGGGCCGTGGAGTGAAGTCACGCTGAGATTCTGTGAAGATAAAAAAGGGATTAGCATCTTTAGGAGCCGGCGGGTGATGTAGTGACTCGGTTCAAGATATTAAAGTGCAAAAAATAAAATAAAATATGTTTGTAATTCAGTCTTTATTCTAAAAAAACCCCATCAAAATAGCTGTATATCCAGGCTACAGAACCTATGAATTGGTGATGGACTGATCGGTGATCTGACAATTTCAGAAAGGAATGTGTTTTTCTCCAAGAGTGTTGCAGACTAACAAGCTGTGTCAACATTCTGTCTGTTCCCTGCTGTCTCTCTCTTTCTCTCTCTCTCTCTCTCTGTCTTCCTGTGTCCTTGGCTCATCTCCTTATTTCATCTCCTTATATCCTGTGTATCACAACAGACTTCTCCCTTCCCTTCATTTGTATTCTCATGTTTTGCACAATGAAGCCTGTATGCTCCCTCTCCAACGTTACTGTCACCCCCACTATAGTCTCCCTCCACTCAAGCCCGGGCAAGCCGACCGACGCGCAGGCAGGCGAGCTTGCCGGCTGGGGGCCCAGATGGTGCTCTGGCGAGTGAGCAAGTTTTGGTCTCAGAGCCTGCATGACGGCAGGACCGTCCTTCTGTGGCCGATATGGCCAAGGCCAGTCCTGGCACCTGTCTTTGACTGTAGACTGGGGGGTGAGGGGGGGGCAGCAGCATGGCAGGCAGTCAAAGAGAACTCAGCCAGTACACAGCAGACTGGAGGACAATCTGGAGACGCACTCACTAACGCACAACGTCGGTGTAGTTCTGCTAGCGGCCACCAGATGGCGTTTGGAGGATCAAATACAGTAGTTGGAAGTTTACCTTGGCTTTTGTGCTTCTGCTACAGTTTACTGCAGGTCAAGATGTGGATTGAATAGAGCTGTTTCAGTGACCTGAGATAGTAGTCGAAGGTTTTCACTGGTGTCTATAAATGTAGTGTCAGTCATGGAACATTAATAACATAGTTAATAAGTAATAGGGCCAAAGGTCATTTAGAAATAGACACATTACCTGTGCTGTGATTGACTGCCTGGTGGCCATTACTGGGTATTTGATACTTTAATATTTGCACTGGTTTATCATTTAGTGAGTTGTTAATGTTTTCTTCCAGACAAGATTCTGGTCCTGAGTAATAATACTGTAGTGATATTATTATAAATGTTAAGGGACCGTTGGGACCCACCTGTCTCTGCAGACTGGGGGCTGTGTGTCTTGGAGAAGGGGGTGGAGCCTGAGCCTCCTTTGCGCGGATCCTCCTGCTCGCTCGAACGTCGTTTCCAGTAGTTGAGCTCCTCGCGATCGGACTCCTGGCACCGCCTGAGGACACTCACTGACCTCCGCGTCTTCTCCACCATGTCCACAATACAATTCAACACCTGGCAAAACAAAGTCATTAATATCCCCGTCTTACGGACCATCTGAAAGTTCACGGAATTTTCACATTTTGGAATCCTGTCTTTATCACAACCTGCCAGCAGCGGCCAAGTGTTTGTTTGAGTTGACTTACATGGTCCAGATGCCTCCATTCATCAGCCCACTCTCTGTCTGTCAGTCTGTGGTCCACTGGCTCCTCACGGTACCCTCCATTAGTTCCTAATCAAAACACACACAAGAGACACCACGTGTGATTAACGATGTTCCTTGTACGAGTCACAAGTGACAGTGAGTGGGTGGAACGCGTCGACAACCCTGATTTAAAAATAAATAAAAAATCGGAGGTGACGGAGGACACAACAGCTGCACTGTGTTCCACTAAAATGACAGGATTCAGGTTAAAGTGAATGGGAAACAAAGAACAAAAGACAAAGGACGTGAGATGGGAATACAAGAGAAAGAGGTGGGCTGAAAAAAAAGGGAAAAGAGAAGCCTGTGATGCAAACCAGACCCTGGGCTCCCAGAGCCTGAACACATCTGGAAGTCAGCTGTCAACTGCACACACACACACACACACTCCCCAAAACATCTCCCTTAGCACCTCCCCTCCTGGAGCTCACAGCATTCCAGTAGGGAGACACTCAGGCTGAGTGGAGTGGCTCCACTTCTAAACACAACCAGGCGCTCTGACACTCACTGTGGACCATTATAACCACTAACCACAAACACACACACACGCAAGCGTACACACACACACACACGCACTGGGATTTCAGATTCAACATTCAACAGTGCTATGACCTCATCAATATTTAGGTTTGAACAGAAGATGGCGTCTCCTCGCAGCCTCCAAATACACGTTTATACACTCTAATAATACGCACAAAAATACAATTTGTTAAAATTAGGAGGGAAAAAAACAGTGATCACGGAGAGAGGATGGATCGACGAGGCCTGTTGACAAGAATAATCACTTCCACACACACTGGCCTTCTCCTTAACCTCGTCCCCACTCCTGGTTCTCATCAGTACTCATCAGTTCAAAGCCATGTGTACCCATGTGTTTATGTGTGTGTGTGTGTGTGTGTGTGTGTGTGTACCCATGAGTCAAGTGGCGGCAGGCGGGCGGGAGGCTGTCAGACGAGGTACTGAGACCTCATAAACACTGCACCTTTACCATGAACATATCAAGGTACGGGACTTCAACTGTGTGTGTGTGTGTGTGTGTGTGTGTGTGTGTCGTTGAGCTACTGCTGTTTCCACCGTGTGCTGACAGGCTCTGAAAGGAGGGCAGATATACACCAGAGTAGATCCAACCCTCCTGCCTGGACAGTATGGTACTGTTTATATAGTGGCGAAACACCAGAGAACTATGGGGGATGGCTGCACAAACACAGAGACCACCCGTTATCACACACACACACACACACACTTGTGATGTGTGTGTTTATTCTAGTGCAACTATTTCTTCTGTTAATGTCTTCAGCAGACAGTGCACCACTGTCACATCAGAACATCACGCTTGTGCCACCAGTTCCCCAAAAAGTCATGACCCACATACCAGGTAGTCTGGGTCTGTCTTTGAGCTCGCGAATCTCCAGCATGCGTTGACTGTGCTCGCGGTGCAGGATGTGCGGCGCTGCGATGTCGTCCAGGGCGTAGTGCTGCAAGGGCGGAGGCGTCGGGTGGAGCTGCGTGCTGATGGGAAGCGTATGGGCGGGGCTGTGTCGTGGAGCGGGGCTGATGGTGCAGATTCGTTTGGCGGCGGGCTCCAGTGATATCGGCGGACGTTCGTGGAAGCCGTTTTCTTTCGGTCTAGAAACAGAAACAGGAGTGATGTGTTTAGAGAGTGGCCGCCAGGGTACGGGTCGTCGTTGAAGAGTGGTTTGTGGAGCTCCGCTTTTACCTGCTGGGGCTGTGTCTCTTGGCGCCAGCATCAGGAGGCTCCATCAGCAGCTCAGAGGAGTCTGGAGAGGAAGCCAGCGTGGTGCTCAGCAGGAGGTGCTCGTGCTGGGACAGGTACTGGGCTGGAGTTTGCTTGGCCGCCCGCGCACAGTGGAGCAACTCCCTCTGCAGCAGGGGAAGGTTTGCCTGACAACAGAGCAGGAGAGCGTTAATTCACAATGGCACAGAAAACCCAACCACGGAGACGATGAAGCGGCTTTCAACAGGCCAACGACAAGAGACAGAAAATCAATTCAGGAATTGGTAAAAAAAAAAAGAAAATGGCAGAAACTCTCTCTGAACTCTTTCACAGAGATATCTATAAAAGAGTAAATCTGCCCCCTGGGAAGAAATGCTTGGCTGGGGCTGTGAAGGCAGGGCTGTGTTGACTCCTCCAGGTCTGGCTGTGAGGCTCAGTGTGAGTCTGGGGGTCGTTATGTGGCTGCTGCCTCTATGGTGGCTGCGGCTTCTCTCATGCAAATGGAAAAAGCTGGGCGAAGACGTTGTGCGATGTTGCAGGGGTACGGAGACATTTCCGAGCAGACTCCACTGACTTCCCTTTTGTTCGTAACTCTTTTTAATTAAATCTGTATCAGCGAACGTCTCTGTCATATCTTCACATCTCTTTTGTTCCCGGCTTTGCTCTAATCGGGAACAGAATCCAGTGTGTTTGCAATTACACCACTTCCTCGCTCTGCCGTGAAAAAAAAGCACAGCTAAGTAACCATGCTGTTTCAGTTTAGCGCACACACACACACACGCAGCTCATACGACAACCCAGCTTTGTAAATACGCTCCACATATATTTCTAATCAGACCTTTAGCCGTCAAACTACCGCCTTTCTTCCACGTTGGCCCACATCATGTGTCTATTCATTTACATGGCCTCCATAGAGTCCCTCTTATCTCCCCGCCTCCCTCCTCTCCCTGGGGGCCCAGACAGTGGGACACATGTGCTGTGTCCCGGTTCAAGCAGAGCTCTCTGGGGTTCAGCGCAGCCCAGTGTTTGCTTGGCGGCGCCTTGGCAGCTGAATGCTCTTTTAATGGCACAGCACAGCGGCTCCATATGGCACACTGAACTGGAACCCATAAAAACAGGAAGGCAACACTTTATAGGCATGTTTCACACTTCCGACTTCCCACTTTCCCCCTCTCTGTCTCTCTCTCTCTCCCTCTCATCCAAGCTCTCTTTTTCATCTATCTGTCCACTCCCTCTGTTTCTCAGGTTCAACTTCCCCCAGGAGTTGGACATAAGTTGTGGGCACCCCTCCTCCCTCATAATAAATTAGCCAAAGGAGGGTTTCTTGTACCAGCGCTCACAGACAGACAGCTGGAGAGGCTCCAAAGGTGAGCGAGAGGTAAATGTGTGGAAAAAAAGGGGAAATTTCAACTGCACTGAAGTCGAAGCAGCCCAACTGGCTGGAGATTTATGGCTTTGCTAAAGGGGGCTCCTCAAAAGTATACACTCGCAGACGTCCCTGGTAACAAAAAGGACTCAAGAGGCTGCTTAACACACACACACACACACACACACACACAAGCAGCTCATCTGCTGCTTGTCAAGTGAACATGCAAATCTCAGGGTAGACACAATAAACTGTTGAAAAGTGGTTTATTCAATTAGGGAAGTGACAGAGGAGACCGTTTATCTGCCTGTGCTTTGTCTCCTGGAGACGTAGGAGAGTGCTGAGGCATCTATCGCGTTTCCATCATTGTGACTACAGGCTTTAATGAAGGGAATCTTAACGTCAACGGCTTTTTTTCTTATAACGACATTGTTTTTTTCATCTGGAAACACAGCTCTGTGATGAGAAGTCGCAGTTTTTAATGTGTCTCAGTGACTCTGACACGCCGACTATGATTTGCTAAAACATGAGTTGTGAAAAACTACTGAGAAACAAAAAGGGGAAGTGATTCAACTGGAAGATGCAGAGTAAACATGAAGATAGGACAGGGTACGAGGATGTGTTTACCTTCAGGAAAGGAATGACGAAGGGGCGGAGGGGGAAGTTTGTGGCCTCCTGCAGCCGGGAGTGAAACTCCTCGATGGTGACTGTTGAATTCTGTCAGATGGCAAAAAGGGAAGTTTGTTATTTCACATTACAGACGCCATATTTTAGTCTCTCTTTTTTTCATTTAAACAAAACACACTTAAAATGAAAAACATACCACAAGAGCCAGGACTAGGCTTCGAACACTGTCTCCAATCTCTGGAGAGATGTCGTTGCCAAACTGTTGGAGCGTGGTCAGGAAACGCTTCAGTTTGCTCAGCTGGCGGGCCCCACAGGTGGCCGGCAGCTGCTGGTTGGCTAGTGACGAGGACGAGGACGAGGACGGTCCGTTGCTGTAACGCTGTGGTGGAGATGGCACTGCATTCAAGGTGGGCGGGGAATGGTGATTCCCATTGGTCACTGGGAATTAAGGCAGACACATAAGGAAAACATGAGGATGGTTTGATAAACGCAGGTGGAAACAACGCTCCGAAATAAAAGAATAACAATGATGTTTACATGCTGTGGTGGAGAAAGAGGCGGGCCGAGGACCGCTGGGGTTGACGGACGGCAGGGGTGGCATCGTGGAGCTGGTGGTGCTGCTGCTGGGGGCTGATCTGGAATGAGTCTTAGCATCCACAGGAGAACCGGGCATGGCAGGGGTTTTCTTCTCTCTACTGTCTGAAAAAGAGGAGATAAAAAGGTCAGCCAGGGGTTCAAAACCGCCCCCCCCCCAAAAAAAGGCTGGTGTGAAGAAACGTCAATGTTTCGCACAACAAACGGAGAAACGATGAGAACTTCATACAGAGCCACGACTTTACCGTTTCCAGCTCATTAGTTTGAGAAATCAGTAGAAAGGCCAGAGGTCTTTAGTCAGCGAATAAAATGCCTGCTCCCCCAGAACCACTTCACATCATACAACACATTCTGCTGGGAGATCAGTCTGCCCCTCGCCCTGCCTCCCCCACTGCACCATCAATGAGCCAGATGTCTAAACTTTAGCCCCTCAAACCCAACTATTCAGATCAATAACAGAAGAAACACTGAAGACGACCTATTGTGAGGGAGAAGAATGCCCCCTCAGAGCTCCTCAGAAACTGCAGGCGGGGCCACTCACACACACACACACACACACACAGAATGGGACGGGCTATTTCACGCTTTACTAACAAGATCGGCAAAGCTTTTGAATGTTAAACGCAACTTCTCAATGTGCTGTTGCCTCTGAATAGGACCACCAGATAAGGGAGCTTCGGGAGAGAGAATCAGGGTGAGTGTGTTGGTGGGGGGCGGGATGGGGGGGGATCAGAGGCCACCTTTGTCTCCTTGAGACCCATGAAGGCTGGGTCCCATCTCCATTTAGAGTGGATCAGACTCTTCTATGAATCAGCGATTAATAGACAGGGCTTGGTTTCACAGGTCGCGAGGTCAACGGAGAGCAGCTTTTTAAATGCACTTTCATGGCTTCAAGGCTTCGGCTTCAATAGTGGCCTGTATATCTTTTTCACAGCTATGAACTCTGCGTGGCCTTGAGCCGCAGGCCACCGAGTTTAGAAAGACTTATTGAGGTTTGAGCAGTCAGCGGTGAAAACTCCAAATGGAACGCAGAGAAAACCTTGGTTATAAAAATACGAGGAGATGCTGCGTCGGAGCGTTCACTTTGTCGCGTCTATTTCTCCAACCTCCTTTCCAAAGCCTGGAAACGGTGGAAACGGTGGAACCGGTCATCCCTGCGTTTTGCAGGGGTCCTCTTCTCGTTTCTAACTCTACCCTTCTGTCGTCTTCCTCCGTTTTATCCCCTGTTCTTCCTCAGTCCTGAGGCTCGCCTGCCTGCCTGCCTTCGCTCCACCTGTTCACTAACACGGGGGGCAGGAAGGAGGAATCTATGCAAACATTTGGATGGTCACACCCCGTGCACTTGGTCTGCCAGTGCACCACAGGGAGCGCTGCACACACACACGTGTATAACAGGTCCAAAAATCTGCACACTTTAGCCGTAAAGCCAGAACATTAGAGTGACATGTCAATAAAAGGACGGAGTGGACATATGGTCTGAATATCAACACTGAAGTCGCATTAACAACTTCACACAAACCAACAACCAGCCCTGTGATGGCAGGGGAGAGGACCACACAGTGGAAAAGTGGTTACTGCTCCTGCCTGCAGCAGGAAAAATCAGTGGTTCGATTCTATATGGTTCTATGGTATATGGCATTGTTCCCAAAGACGCAACCCTCAGGTGGATCGCAAGAAGTGTTTTTTTTTGGGTCGTCTTGCATCATGTTTCCCAGGAGTTTACGAATAATGTCTATTGTCTTGGGTTATGAAGATTTCTGACTTTTAAAATATGGGTCCCCAGAAAAAGTTTGTTAAACACTGGTATACGGAGCTCCAGAATCCTGCGTGATCGGGGTTAACTGTTTATTCTAGAAATACTTCAGATATACGTACACGTCTGGATGGTTATTTGTCTCTGTGGCTCCTGTTCCCCTCCCCCGAAGCCCTGAATTATCATTAATTATTATTATTGTTGTTTCAGTGTCGAAACAAACAGAGCATGTAAGAACCAGAACTCTTGTTTGGTTTCTTCTGTTCAAATTTAACTTGTGTGTGGTTGTGGTGGAATTTAAAAGGACAAAACCAAAAAAACAAACAATGTAATTATTTAAATGAATCTTATAAAGTTAATAGCTGTCAGCAGGGTTCGGAACTAACCAGGAAACTCGTTTCTCAGCAAACAAAGCCATCAGAATAGAATGGTAAGAGCAGAGCAGAGCAGAGCCTAAGACTCAACACAATTAAATGACAATAACAATCACTATTACAGCAGAAGTAGTTAAAGTGCTGAGAACAGGGGAAAAAAATCATTTTTCCCCAAGTGCTTCTACTTAACCAATTTAAAAACACCACAATGAAATATTCATGTTGCTGTTTAAACCATCAACCTTCACCAGACACAGATGAAGGAATCGTGCATCATCATCAGCAAACAGCCAAACCCGTGATTTAATCTCATTCTAATGGGTCTGAGACATTAGACTAGAAGCTTTTTTTTTAATTGTCCTAATGTGACCCACTTAACACAGCTGAGAACACAGAACTAATTAGCATCCTTGTAGGGCCACGCCTTTATTGATTTATTAGGACACTCGCCTGTGTGATTTGGAAGTCGTCCAAAATGGCATTCAGCTAATGTAAACTGTTTCAGATAAATTAATTCCCAGGACATTTCATTTATCGTCAGAGACAACGTTCGACAACACGAGGGCCACAAATTACGAGGAAAAGAATCATAAACCCTAAAGAGGGAGTCGGGTTCAACACGAGTTTTATTGGGACTTAGTCCTAGCTGCGTTCACAACGCCGCGAGATATTCATGGGTTCATTGTCAGGCACATGTGAGGTAATTATAGCAGACGTCAGGTTGTGCGTGTGTGAGAGTTTTCCTTGTCTATCTATACTTGTGGGGACATAACATAAATGCTGTTGTCGTGGGGACATTTTGCAGGTCCTCCTGAATAAGAGGTACCGTTGTGTTTCAGATTTAATTTGGAGTTAGGATAGATATTTAGGTTGTTGTGAGGATTAGGATAAGGCACATATTTGTAAGGTTATGACCAGGGTATTCATTATGTGTGTGTGTGTGTGTGTGTGTGTGTGTGTCCACAGAGGATTGCCTCTGCAGGTCAATATTAGACAGCACAGTACATATCTGGATGATTTCATCTGGCTCCCGAGCACCTGAGTCCACGGTATCTGGTCACAGGACCATCAGGGGAGGCAGCTGTCACAGCAGCCACAAAACACACACACTTACACACACAGTCTGCAAGCACTGTGGATGTGGGATGTTTGTCTGGTCTAAATGCCACCTGTCATCCCGGCTCTAATGTAACAAAGAGAAAACGTACAAAGACACAGAGCAGGCGTGAACGTTGAACATGAAAATATGAAAGTCAAAGTTGAAAATGATACTGGATTCATTCCAACAAGCCATAAGCAATAGCAACAACTTACATTTGTGAAACTGCCCCGTCATTGTAACATAAAAATTCATAAACATTGGTGAGTTTCAACTATTTGTTTCTCACTGACATACACAGATGACGAACACGTGGGTCGACTGGAGACAACGGTTGTTTTCGCATGGATGACAGACTACAGAATTTGCATCAGTGATGTGGCTGTTGTTGCTAACCCGGTGTTCTTTGTTTGTTCAGCATCAGGTGACACCGGCGTGCATTTAAACATCTCGTTGGCTGTAATTGCCTCAGCAGGTGATGCAGAACGAGGCGAGGCAACAACATATAGCTGATGGAAAACCAGACTGCGATGTCACCGAGCCACAGCTGTTATTAAAAGCAACTTAAAAAAAAATTAAATGACGAAGACCAGGCGCATACAACGTAATGTTCAGTTAGCTCAGCTCTGACAGATGCGCACATTTTCGAGTCATTGCGAATGAGTCCGATGGACATGTAATTGTTTGGTAAGCCTGTCAGTCTGCGCTTCTGCAAAAAAAGAAAAAGAAAAAAAGAACTTGATAAGTGTGAGTCATTAGAGTGTGTGTGTGTGTTCATGCAGTGTGTAGCGACCATTGTCCTGTTACTGTGGATGAGGTGAGAGGAGACGCAACGCAGGCTTGACTAATTTTACTGCTGAGCTAAGAGATAATTCACACCGGCATGTGCAAAGCTGCAACTATGTGGGCTCCACACAGACGTCGATGTTGAGGCCCACACATATGCATCATCGCCGCTGAACCCTGGCCATTCTGTTGGTTTGTATTCAAAAATTTGTTATTGTTTCTCTCTGCGGCAGAAGATTCTGAGAAATGTTTGGTCTCTGTGTGTTTTTACTACTATCTGCCCTTGTGCTCTCACATGGACTCACTTTTCAGGACTTTCCAGTACGTCCAATCACAGTCAGTTATTAGACTAGCTCAGGGATTGGACCCAGAATTTATTTTAAATGCCAACGTTTCCTTGGGCAAGGCACCAAACCTCAAGTTGCTCGTCGACTGTGTTGCCAGCAAATGAACGGATGTCCTCAACGTAAACGTATTCTGTTTAGTGCGATGCACTACTGAGATGCAATATTATGTGTTGCTACTGCAGTATACTGTATAAATAGTAACAGTAACAACAGTAACATCATTTTTGTTATTGTTCTCGTCAGACTTTTTAAAAAAAACCTATAACAATGTCAGAGCTTCAGTCGTTGACAACAACAGCAGGAACGCTGTGGAACACTTCCTTCTCACGTCAGTCTTAGCTCCTTCCTCATTATCATCCTGTAATTAAAGTTCATTAACCCTGCATTAATCAACAACTGCCACAAGATACAGAGTCTACACTTCAACAGTAAAACACAGTTTTAACATTGTCATCTTGGGGGAAGTCCAAAAACAGGGACACTATAACAGACCTCCTGGCACCCGTGCAACTGATGGGCACAACTCCCGC